CGCGAGTTTCTCTGTGAGTTTCCCATTACGTCGTAGCTACTCGGTGCTTGTTGGAAGTTTAGGGGTTTTTTCGCTGTAAAAAGAAGTTTTCTTCCCACGCACAGCGGACACTAATGTTTTTGTCACTTTTTATGGAATCAAACTCAAAGTAAGGTCAGTACTTCCACGCTTTAAACGCTGCACGCTCATACTCTCTCTGCACTCGATATGTGATTCACTGTTGATCTGCACACAGCTGTTGTCACGAACGGCGCACTCGCTTACGTCACTGTCGTGAGACATTCTCGCAAAAAATCACGGTTTTAGTAACGCAGTAACGCAGCGTTCCTACGGGAAAGTAACGGTAATCTAATTACCGTTTTTGCAATAGTAATCCCTTACTTTACTCGTTACTTGAAAAAAGTAATCAGATTACAGTAACGCGTTACAAGTAACAAGTAACGCGTTACTGCCCATCTCTGCATGTGTGTGAGGAACGTTAAATACAAGCTCAAAGCTTCAAAACGACCACGTTTCCATTCTTCTCTCAGAACACCGTAAATTCCTGTAGTTTTATTTTGAAAGAGAGAAGAGGGAACATGTTGCTCGTGGAGTCACATCCTGCCAGCTCCTCAGCTGACTACAGCTGAAATTCAGAGAAGAAGATGCTGATAGCTGAACACTGTCGCACAAACATTAGTAGAAGCAGTCTGCACACCTACACCTGTGGCCATGAAAGCGGCTGGAACACCTGAATTCAATGATTTGGATGAGTGAGTGAATACTTTTGGTAGTATTGTGTTTCCTGTGCAACGTTCACATTGTTTCAACACAGTCTCCGTTCTTTGCACTGAGAGGTTCTGACTGGAGGATGGGGAAGTGGGAGTGGGTGGAGCAGGTGAGGAAAGGTGAGTGCTGACCCCCTGAATTTAAATCGTATGAGATTTTTTAATTTTATGGCATGGTGTTGGAACTTCCTGGCTTTTAAATCCCGCACTGATGGAAATTTCCTTATGTTTAATGTCAGGTTGACTCTGTCGTTGTTCCCGTCCTCGCCTTCCTCCCATAATAAGCGTGGAAATATGTGTGAATTGCTCCCTTAATGGGTTCAAAGGTCCAGCTGGTGCAGGTGTGGTGGGGTTCAGCGTCACACCGACACCCCGCGGGGGAGCGGACCACTAAAACACCTCGCTGCAGGCTGACCAATCAGACACTCGGCTGGAGGTGAATTTGTCTGTCAGTCTGGACTAATCAATGAGCAGAAACACAGCAGGTGTGTGTGACACACACACACACACACACACACACACACACACACACACAGGTTTCTGTCGTCCACATAATTAGCAGGTCAGCACACATCGTGCATCTCCACCGCGGGATTCTGGGAGAGCGACAGAGAACAACTCAAAAGTCAAAGCAAGGAGCCAAGAACAGACAGGATGAAGGAGACAAGGAGACACGAACAAATGCAAGGGGAGAGGAGATTATAACAGCAAGTGTGTGTGTTTGGGGGGGGATAAGACCAAAGAGGACGAGGAGATGAGGAAACAACAGAGGTAGAGGAGACAGGGAACGAAAAGGAAATAGGAAAGCAAATCTAGAGAAGGGAGTAAGGATAAAAGGATAGAATAAAAGAGTAAATGTAAGTTTAAAGGAGAGGAAACAAGGAGACAAAAGGGAAAAAGGAAAAAGAAGTAAATGAAAAAAGAACCTGGGAAAGGGGAATGAAAAGAAGTAGGAAACAAGGAGACAAGACAAGAAGGAGACCTAAGAAGAGTGTAAAAAGAGGAAGAGAGGGAGGACAAGGGGATGAGGCGAGGAAACAATTGAAAAAGCATAGAAAACAAAGAGCTGCTGAGGAAACAAGGAAGGGTAAGAAAGGAAGAGGAAACAAGGTAGAGGACATGAAGCAAAAAGAGAGAGAGGAAATTGAAAGGAAACAAGGAGACAAGGAAACGAGAGAAGAAAAAAAAAAACAGCAGAGGAAAAGTGACAAGGAAATGAAATAGAGTGCAAGGAGACAAGGAAAAGGACAGACCAGGACAAACCTCAGAGGGGAATCCAGCCCTCTGATTGGTAACTCAGTGTTTAATGAACATGGCGCTCACACACACACACACACACACACACACACACACACACACACACACACACACACACACACACACACGAGTGGATCCTGCCTTTTTGTCGCTATAACTTACAGACGTCGCCTGAACGCGTCACAAACAGCACGCGTGAGTGACTGAAGTCATTTCAGAGGAAACCAAAGACAAACGAATCACATTAACGGCTCTTCATAATCCCGCCCCCGGCTGCTCCGCAGGTCACGTGATTCTTCTTGTGTTATTCCCATTTTTTTATATGGCTTTCAGTGTGTGATTAAATTTAAAGAGTGGAATAAAAATGTTCTTCTTTAATGATGTGTTGAGCTTTGAATTTATTGTCTGTGGAAGAGTGATGATGGTGATGTTTGTTTGTTTGTTGATATCACACATTAATCTCTGAGCATCATAGCGGGAATTACAGAGTATCCAATAACGCAGCATCCAGCTGACCCCGGGAGTCGCTCACGTCTCTGCTCGCTGTTATTTAGTTTAGATTAAAATGACAATAAATTAAAAATAAAGCGCTGCGACGTGATTTCATTTTTACATGTTGTGCTTTATATGTCATAAATAATTTAGATAAAAAAATCACAATGAATACCACGAGTTTAAAAGCTGTTAATTTCAATAAGCAACAAACACACGAGGACAGCGAGCAGGCTCGTCCTCGTGCCTGCGGGCTCCTCGGGCTGCTGCAGTTTCATGCTGGAGATACAACCAGTGAAAAACTAGGAAACGAGGAAGTTATGGGGAAAATGTTGAAGCTACGTTTCTGCAGTGGTTATCATCTGATCAGAAATCAGTTTGATTTCATATGGTTTTAGTTTTATACTGTTTTAATTCTTAAACAGGTGCTTCTGTGCTGAGCCTGAGCTGTGAGAGACGTCCGCAGAGCAAAGTCAGGGACGATTCGTGTCCTTAACGGGGACGCTTGGACAAACATTTCATCTCTCACATGAAATGATGCTGACGTGAGATTCGTCTGTAGGAGTTACTCAGTCCCTGTGCCACCTGATGAAGGCCGGTATTCAGAGCCCAGATCAAACGGGTTTCTCGGACCTGATGATGCGTTCACTGCACTCCCACGGTCTCCACAGTCACAGCTCAGCAGAGCAAGCGGACAGTCACGTGATGGATGCAGCAGCATCGTAACCTGATGTAGTGTTTCTGGCACCTTATTCAATCTGTGCCAAAGGGAGTCCAGCCTAGTGGTAGCAAGGTGCACCTAATGTTATGGTGAAACAACCTGAAAGTTACCTCAGCACTGCAGACGTGCTACAGTGGCCTCGCAGCACAAGATCAGAAACATGGCCCCACAGCTCGCCGTGTGCAGCAGGTCGTCCTGTCCTGCATCCTCCTCTTATCTTTGTGCTCTTATTTTACTGCAGTGAAGAAGAGCAAACGACCTGCAGGCTGTTAGTTCAACATATCGAGTTTGTTTGCAGCTGTAAGGAGGTTGGACAGACGTCAGTACTTCATGTGGTCAGTAGCGGTTTTAGAAACGGGCGACACGGGCGGTTGCCCGGGGCGGCATCGTGGTGGGGGGCGGCAAAAAAAAAAAGCTCATACTCATGCTGCCCCGACGTCAGCCAGGAAATGGCACAGGCACCGATCGGTTTTCTGTCGCCCATTTGCTGGGAGTAAGGGCGCCCTCCGTTTGCGAGCTGCGCCTGCTGCTGGCGGCACAGGGAGGAGAGGGCGGGGCGGCGGGGAGTCTCTGGTGGCTGGAGCAGCGTCTAATAACCAACCCACAAAATAAAAACAAACCAACAAACACGAAAACACCAGACATGATACAGACTTATAATCTGCACTGATGTTTTTTCGAAATTCTGTACAAAGTTCAAAGCCACCAGGTGCTCAGTTTAGAAAAAAGAGAAAAGAAGAGAAACGAGCAACAGATGCAGGTAAGCAGACGTGTGATTGGATAATGGCAGGTCATCCTGAACCAATCAGAATCAGAATACTTTATTAATCCCTGAGGAAATGATGTGGGTTACAGTTGCTCCAAGAAGAAATGGTAAAAATAGTAACGGTAACAGACTAAACTCCAAACAACACATTATGTTACAGATTTTAATATTAATGAGTCCTTGTCAGTTGTTGATTTGTCCTGTTCTCATTGTGTGAGGAATTATGATGGCTGTTTGGTGGCCATTTGCATACTATGCACTCTCTCTCTTCATATATGTGTGTGTGTGTACAACAGCTTTATGTTAATGTATAATCCTTAATATGTTTTGTGTGTGCGTGTGTGTGTGGGAGGGGGGGGGGGGTGCCAGAGGGAGTGTTCGCCCAGGGCGCCAAACAGGCTAGGACCGCCACTGCATGTGGTCATCACGTTCGGTTTAATAATTAAAGGCCAGCACAGATCAGCAGCGTGAGTCGAGCTGTAAATGTGACCCTCGCTCTGCTGACATGACCTTGCCTCAGATCAGTGTCTAAGACGCTGAAATAACAGCGGACGTATTCGTTCTCCTAAAGTGAAACACGAACACGCTGCTGCATAGCAGCCAATCGATGGCTTATGTTCAGGAAGAGGGCGGGGCTTGAGTGTGCACATTAGTGTGAAGCTTTCAAAGATGTGTGTGAGTGATGTTGTGCCCTTTAATGGACTAAAGTGTCTGCCTGCAATCACTCCGACTCTCTCTCAGCCGTTTAATGTCTTCAGCCAATATTTGCTCTCTCTCGCTGCTCTCCATTTAAGGTTAATTAGACTCGCCCCTCTCGCTCTCTGTTCAAACACTAAGGCCTGCTGCTGTTTCCACACAAACACACCGATCACTCCCAGTGCTCCCACTGCTCCTCCCGGTCACGCATGCAGGAGTCTGTTGTCAGGATGCTAACAGCTGCTGCACAGCTGGATGTGTGTTCACAGTTCAGACAGACAGAGGAGGCGGGGACACAGACTTCACAGATTTCTCTCTTTATTTGATAATTACATTAATTATTCAGGTATGATGCAGCCAGACAGCTGCTGATTGGTCCATCCAATCTCTCAGGTGAAGGCCAGGTGATAGGGGATCGGTCCACTGGTCTTAGGAAGGCGTGGCCTCATCTGGAAGCAAAAAAGAAGACAGGTGAGACAGCAGGTTGGTATCTAGGTTAACTGGTATAGTTTGTAGGTGTAGCTTAAGCAGGTGGTCACGTACCTGGGGGGGCTTTAACAGGAAGTGAGGCCCTTCCAGTAGAAGTTCTTGCAGCCGGCCTTGCGTTCGCGGGGGGGTATGCTGTTGGGTTGGTCGGCAGACCGCTCCAGGTTCATCCTCCCGCCTGTTGCCTCAGCTTCCCGCTGGACGTCGGCCTCAGGCAGAGACATCTGAGCGAGCAGGTCCTCCACCGCACGTTTACTCCACTCCTGAGGATCCAGAAACCAGTTTAGCACCAAAGCAGACCCTTTAGCACAGCTAAGAGCAGCTAGAACAGTTTAAATCACTTTTTTGGAACCATGTGGTACACCTGGGAGTTTGGCAACAGTGATGAACGAGTTTAGAGCAGGTCAGAATGATTCAGCACGGATTAGGACACATCGAATAGTAACCAAACAGAAGAGCTCAGAACTGTTTAGAGCAACTTGGAACTGCACCAAGTTTTTCTGGGATCTTCCCAAGAAGACACATTTGATCTGAACTGACCTGCTGTTCCAAAACATTAATGTGGATGAACAGAGCAAGAAATCATAAGAAGAAACAAACTGTCCAGTTTTAACTGCAGAAGAATGAAACGAGGTAACTCGGCTTCTGTTGTAAATCACTTTTTGTTTGTATTTTTGTTTTTTCCACTTTTGTGTCTCTATGATGTCATGGAGAGCAAATATCCTGATATAATCATCTCGGCAAACACAAGTCCCACCCACACATTCAGCAGCCAATCAGAGTTTGATTCAGTGAAGGCAGATGGGAAATGCCCTGGATCAGATAAAGAAGGATTATTCTGAGCTGTGAATCATGCAAAGCTGCTCTGGCAGAGTTAAAGAATAGAAATATGGAGCTGAAGCAGAACTTTGAAGAAATACTTGGAACCCTCTAACTGTCTTTTCTGCTACCTTGTGAGCTTTGCTTAGCATAAAAACATGTTGAATAAGAGGGAACCAGCTAGCCTGGCTCCAAAGATAATAAAGCATCTCACTAACAGAGCCTTATCATCGCGACGCTTTAATCTGAAGGGAGCTGTTTCCCCACTGTTCCTTCAAAGTAATGGCGCACTAAAACGATGCTGCGAGCTGTCAGGGTGCTCGGTCTCACCTGTGACAGGAACCCTGCGCTGCGAGGTTGTTGCAGCAGCCGATGATTGCGCAGCTCCAGCTCCAGCTCCAGGTCCGGGTCCTGCAGCTGGTCTCTGTCTGGCTGAGAGGAAACTCCGGTACTGCACAGAACCAGTGCCATGAGAACCAAAATGGCGGGACAACGTACACACTGCATACCTGGAGGAGAGCAAGAAGAAGATGTTAAAAGAGAAAAAGAACTAAGAAAAAGAGCAGAGGAGAAGGAGAAGCTCCTACTGGTGCTGGTCTGGTTTCTTCTGCTGGTCCTGGTGCTGGTTCTGGTTCTTGGCTCTCTCTGGTCCTGGTGCTGTGGGTGCTGCCCTTTTGAAGCCTGGTGCTCCTCCTCCTGTGGGTCACATGATGCCGCGTGGCTGATTGACAGCCGGCGAGCTGCAAGGTGATGAAGGAACTCTGACTTACAAGTTAAACAAAAGTCCATTAATCCTTATTGACTTTAAATGGAAGCCGAGCAATAAAACAATAAACCTATCAGCAGCAGCGCGCCGCGGCTGCCGCCGCTCATCTCCGACAAATACAACAGCGGAACGTCGGGCTGAAGAGGACAGGAATTAACGGAGCGTTCAGAGGATTAGCAGACTTCATTAGCACTCGCTGATATCTCCATTAAACAAAGAGGCAGCAGCAGAGAGTCGCCCACTCAACATTTAGTCAGAACAAACACGACTTTTATACTGTCGAAAAACACTTTGTGCTGCTTTCAAATGTTCTTCTGCAGGCAGACAGAGTGGAAATGGCATCAGGGAATCCCACCAACACGGATGACTCAACGCAGTCCCAGCAGAGCGTAAAATAACACTCGATTCAAGTCCAACTTCAGTGGAAGCACTTTAGATAACGGCTCGCAATAAGCAGCGCAGCTCTTCACGATGTACACGCCGCGAGGACCGATCCTGATATTATATTTCAGGAGGAACACAACCGATCTTCCTACGGGGAATAAATGCAGGAGCATTAAATGTTCACATTTTACACTTTCAAATATTTATTTGTGTGCTAAATCGAATCCAGTGTGTCCAGTTTAAAGAGCAGAACAAAAAAGAGGAAAGAAGTTTTTCTTCCTGCTGTTTGGATGAGTTGTTAGCAGTTTGGCTAATGCTACAGCAAAGTGGATCTAACCAGCACCAGGTCAGCAGTGACCCCTCTGCCTCTTTGTTAAGGATTTAAGTAAAACTGATGACATCACTCCAGGTGAATAAAACCTGGGTGGACTGAATTTCATGACTAGTGCTCTACTTTCAAGTTTCAGAATGGCTGAAGCTGTTTTCAGACGGCCATCTTTGTAGTCATAATAATAACAGAAACTTTGATTTCTGCAGTTCCTTTAACCCGAGGACGCTTTGCAAAAGAAAAGAAATAAAGCAGCTCCTCCTCACTCCACCCCAAACCTGGTTCTTCCTGTTAAAAGGGAGTTTTTCCTTCCCACTGTCGCCAAGTGCTTGCTCACTGGGGTGGTCTGGTTGTTGGGGTTTCTCTGTATTACTATAGAGTTTTCACCTTACAGTATCAAACAGCTGCTGTGATTTTGTGCTATTTAAGTACATTTGAGTTGCAAATTGAAGGATGAATGAGTGAATCAGGAGCAGTGCTGCATGTTTTCTTTTGCACCCACATTATTATTTGACAGTTTTATTGATGACATCTACAAAATCCCAGCACTCTCCCCCATCAGAGGCCAGCATTCTGCTAAAACCACTCCAGAAACAACAAAGAGGCCAACTCTGCCTCTAGACGTCCAAGATCCCAATCTGATCGAATATCTGTGGGATGCGCCGGAACAAGCTAGATCCAACGTATGAGTGCAGACACCCACCAAGTTCCCGTGTCTGTGTCTTTCATTTGTTTAATGCTATCTCGCTGGCTGGTCACCACAGTTTGTAACTCAATTGTCCCTTGAGGACAATAAAGGCTATCCAATCCAGCCTGACCCAGCCTGATCCAATCTGGTGCTGCGGGATGGATTATCTGCACAAACACTGCAGCTCCCCTCATTGTTCCTCTGTGACCTCTGACCTCTCTCTGCTGTGGGACCTTTTGCAGCTGATTATCACTCCGCAGTGCTCTGACATTTTTACTGCGGCCCCTGGTTTCGCTGAGGACAAACTCACATTCTCAGGCCTGAATGACACAAACACTCACAGGACGTTTAACAGGTTACTTCTGCTTTCCCTTCAGCTTCCTCTGCTCACAGCAGCCGCGCTTGTACAGGTGTGGAGAGTTTTGTAGTGTTTTTATTGGCTTTTAGAGAAAAAACAGAACACAAAATATGACAGAGTCAACAACAGTTTAAAGTTAGAAGCGGCCCGGTGGAGCTGCTCTGGCTCAGCTGGATCACACCGAGACGACACGTAAAGGTGGGATACGACACAATGATAGAAACAGAGGTAAGTCGTGATTTTTGGATGGTTCACACACGTTTCTTAAGGAGGGGAAACGGCTCTGTTGTTGCCACATCGGCAGTGGAAGGGATCACCTGACCAATAATATGGCTGCTGTGAGGTTACTGTACAGGTATTTCTTCTTACTTATTAGTATCTGTGTGTGATGTACCTAATAATAATGGATTGCATTTATATAGTGCTTTCCGGGGCCCTCAAAGCGATTTACATTCACACACTGGTGGAGGTAGCTACAGGTGTAGCCACAGCTGCCCTGGGGCAGACTGACAGAAGCTGCCATATCGCGCCATCGGCCCCTCTGGCCAACACCAGTAGGCGGCAGGTGAAGTGTCTTGCCCAAGGACACAACGACCGAGACTGTCCGAGCCGGGGCTCGAACCGGCAACCTTCCGGTTATAAGACGAACGCCCAACTCTTGAGCCACGATCACACCTACACAGTTTGCTGTGCGGATAGCCAGCATTAGTTGTCCTGATGCTCAATAATCCAGAAGACCCAATAAAGATGATTTAATGTTTTCAGTGGGAGAGTTCATCCTCAGAGTCCGCTGCGTTTCCCCAACCTAGCGATGGACACTTGCACCAAACTAGCGTGTGAATCATACATAGTTCGTGGAGCTTCCTCTCAGGAACGAGAGAAAGAACTTGATCTTAGCAACAACGATTTGCATGTTAACGATCATGAAACTGAGCTCACAGCTCATGTTAGTTTATAGTGTTAGTGAGTCTTAACTTCTATGTAGCTGTGCTGTTTCTGAGGCTGGGAAACCTGTAGTGAGCTGAGAATGAAGAACGCACCCTGGGGTAAAAGCTCTCATCTTCTCTTGCCATGAACATAATGTGGGCACGTGTCCCCCACCCTGTTCTGACTCTATTTAAAAGTAGAATGGGAGGCAGAGCCTTCAGTTTTCAGGCCCCTCTTCTGTGGAACCAGCTTCCAGTTTGGATTCAGGAGACAGACACTATCTCTACTTTCAAGATTAGGCTTCAAACTTTGGACATTAAAATGTGTCTTTTTATTTATTTTTGTATTCTTATGTCAGTCAGAGATGGTTTTAAAAGTTGGCAGACTTTTGATGGAAACCGAATCACTGAGAATTTATTGCCACAGTATTTTCTTTGTGTGGATGGAGGTTAGACAGGTTTCTGCTTCCACCCTCAGCAGAGGAGACTGGAACATCCATCCATCCATCCATCTTCATCCGCTTTGTCCGGGGCCGGGTCGCGGGGGCAGCAGCCTAAGCAAAGAGGCCCAGACCTCCCTCTCCCCAGCCACCTCCTCCAGCTTATCCGGGGGAACACCAAGGCGTTCCCAGGCCAGCCGAGAGATATAATCTCTCCAGCGTGTCCTGGGTCTGCCCCGGGGCCTCCTCCCGGTGGGACATGCCTGGAACACCTCACCCAGGAGGCGCCCAGGAGGCATCCTTGTCAGATGCCCGAACCACCTCAGCTGGCTCCTTTCGAGACTGGAACAAATAGGATTATTTTAACGAAGAACATTAATACGACACATTCAGGAAATTATTTTTAAAAACTAATAAAGCACATCAATGTTTGCATTCTTACTTATTTATTGTACTTAAGTAGAATTTTTCTGGTATCTGTACTTTACTGGAGTATTGTTTTTACTCCTTTTACTTTTACTCCTTTTTAACACAAATATCTGAACTTTCTACTCCTCACATTTTAAAAACAGGCTCGTTACTTTAACACATTTGAGGGAAGTTATTATTTCACATCAACTGTGCACCTTCAAGCCTAAACAGTAACGCAGCAAAGGCAGTCCTAATGGGTCATAATTACCAACATTTAAGTCACGAAAAGAGATAAAAGAGGCAAAACTGTATGCATCATTTATAGCCAGGTTAAAATGGGCCACAAGGAGTGCAGGTGTCTGCAGGTTTAACGTCACAGCGAGGCGACAAAGGCTGTGCAAAATGGATGATCTGATCGTCATGTTGGTGTTGATCTGGGAACAACACCGACACGACGATATCAATGTGTCCTTCATTTCCCCGAATTTGAAGGATGGGTCGGGTGTGTCCTTCGTGGCCCACCATATCCAGAATTCATAGCGCGGCCCAGCCAAGTCCAGTTTCCAACGATATCAGCCGCTACTTAGTTTTAATATTACTCTTATTACTCTTTCTGTGTCGCAAAATACATTTTTAAGGTAGTTTCAGGCGAGACAGTAGCTGTGTAAACTTCAAATATCTGCAGATTTATCAGGACATCACATGTTTGCAAAAGTGCTCCGATGTTTTCAGAGACGTCTGTTACCCACCAGCTCGATAGCTGACCAGGTGAGGACAGCGAACTCCTGGCACGTCGTTTTCAGACTTGTGAGTCACTCAGATAACTTAAAACTGTTATTGTTTGGCTTCTTTCAGTGTTTGATTTGTTCCTGAGTGAATCTGTTTGGCTGAGATTAAAGTTCTAGTTTTCACACAGCCGAATAAACGTCAAACAGACTGATTATCATAAGTGTGAGATGGTCGAGAGTTTACTCCGGTGTCCTGTTATATTTAGACAGCGGTGACGCAGATCAGAAGGTTAGACCGTCCAATTTCACAGACGCTCACTTCCGGCCTTCTCGGTCTTCTCGGCCCGGGTCCTCAGGAGGTTGCAGCCCACGCACTGAGACGCAGCTTGTGTGTGTGCAGTTCGTCTCACGGTGAGTTGCAGCTAAAGGTCCAGCTGCTGATTTAACAGGGAGAGGAATGGTAAAATGGTAAATGGCCTGTATTTGTATAGCGCTTTTCTAGTCCCTAAGGACCCCAAAGCGCTTTACACAACCAGCCATCAGGAAGGTGAACGTTAGCTTCGCTCGCTTCAAAGACATTAAGTCCTCTTGTTTTCAATCTGCACATGTCACATTATGTTTCT